CTCTTCTGCCATGTTTCTGGTTTCAAATTGCGAAAATCCGTCACACGTCTTCTCCGATGGCACCTCCGCCTCTATTTTTCCTTCAGGTGGCAGTCAGGGAATGGCTGCTATATATGTTTTCTTTCTTCAATAGTGCATTCTCCCAAACCTCATTATAATACTATGCAAAATAACATAAAAAATAGGAAGAATATTTCTTACCTTTTATTCCAATGAGTTAGGGATATATATACATAGAAAAGTGATCTATATATTGTAACAACATAAATCACCCTATTAATTTGTCACCTATGATTATACTAATATATATGAGAAATTAATTAAATATACATGAAAATATTCTGTAATATATTTTATAATTTTGTAACAAATGAAATACACATCAATCAAAAACTCCTTTTAACAAATTTATGCCAAAATTTTTGCAGGATGAATAATTCGTCTTAACCAAGTCAAATCCCAACTTGGACAACCATAGAAGTGAGTATTATGGTCATTTGGCTAAGTCTATCTGCTGCTTGATTCTCTACTTCTTGCTTATGTTTGATTACAGAAGTGTACTCTTACAGAAAAGCTACCTAGCTTGTATAATGATGGCTAAGATTCCTCTGGGAGTTGATACTTTTAAGAGCCTCATGGTCAGAGTCGAGGACAAACTCTTTTAGAAATAGATAATAATGTCAGTATCAATAACCACTTGAGATGCATCACAAGCTATTTCAAATATCTTGGAGAAGTCCATAAGATGTAATACTGGTGCTTCTATCAATTTCCTGTCGACCATCTCAAAAGTTCTAGACATTGTTTCATTCCAAACAAATTTTTCACTCTTCGTGCAGTTTATAATGGATGTCATTAAAGTGTTAAAGCCTTCAATAAACTTTATGTAAAAAGATCCCAAGTTGTGGAAACTTTGCACTTCACGTAAGATCTTGGGAGTTGGTGATTCTTGGATAGCTTTAATTACTGCTTTAGAAGAGACTATAAATCCAAGACTACAACATTAGTTGTCATGAAACCTATTGGTCAATAAATATAGAGTTTCTCTTGGCAAAATACTTTCATAACTTGTTGTACGTGAAAAGTGTATTCGTCCCTAGACTTATTGAAGATAATATTAAGAACAATTTTTTTATTAATGTATTTTTTTTAAATATTACAACTTTATATATATAGATTTTTTTGGATAAAAAAAATAGACAATTACTTATAATTAATTCAAATGTGTAATTATTATACCTTGATTTGTTTTCTCTTTAATACTCTAATTTGTTTCCTTTTTAATATTCTAATTTACTTATTCTTAGATAATATCCTGATTTACCTCTTCTTTAATATCCTGATTTATTTCCTCTTTAATACTCTGACTTACTTTCTTTTTAATACCCTGATTTACTCTCATCTTTAACATTTTCTTCTTTAATGCTCTGACTTATTTCCTTTTTAATACCCTAATTTACTCTTATCTTTAACACTTCTCCTCAAGCTGGAGAATATATGTTGACCATTCTCAACTTCCCAATAAAAGTTTGAAATGTTGAATTATTTATATCTTTCATTAACACATCTGCTAATTGAGAATTAGTGGACACGTATGGGCTACATATTAGATTAGTTGTTAAATTCTTCTTCATGAAATGTTTATCAATTTCAATATGTTTGGTCCAGTCGTGTTGCACCAGATTGTTAGCGATACTTATGGCCGACTTGTTGTCACAATATAGGCACATAGGCTTGTTCTACTTGATTTTAAGATCTTCTAAAATTCTTTTTATCCATAGTAGTTTATATCCCTTGTGCCATTGCACAAAACTCTGATTCTGCACTTGATCTCGCAATTATATTTTATTTCTTACTTCTCCATATGACTAGGTTGTTTCTAAAGAAAATACAGTAGCCTGTAGTAGATATTCTATCTATAACTAGTCTTCCATAATCTACATCAATATAGACTTTTATGAGCAATTTATCATTCCTCTTGAACATAATTCATTTTCCTAATAACCATTTTAAGTATTCCAGTACTTTATAAGCCGCTTGTAGGTTCACTTCTTTTAAATTGTGCATGAATTGACTTATAACACTTACTATATAGTTGATGTTTGGTCTTATATAGGATATGTAGATCAATCTCCCAACTAATCTCTGATACATTTTCTTATTTATTGGTGTATCCTCCTCTATTATTTTTAGTTAGTGATTAGAATTAATGGGAGTGCTAGTTTGTTTGCATACTAACTTGTTAGTGTCTTTTAACAAATCATTGATGTATTTCTGTTGAGAAATAAAAATTTCAAATTTGGAGTAGACAACTTCAATTCCTAAAAACTATTCTAATTTACTTAATTCTTTGATTTCGAATTCTTTCACTAGACATTATTTTAGTATTTGTTGTTCTTTCTCGTTATTTTTTATTATTATAATATCATCAATGTACGCTAGAAGAATTGTAACTCTTCTTGTCTCTGAGTGTTTGATGAAAAGAACTTGATCTTCTTGAGTCTACTTAAATCTCATATTTATCATTACCTTTGTAAACCTGCCAAACTATGCTCTTTCTTATTACTTATTTATGTACAAAGCTTTTTGTTGTTTATATACCTTATTTTATTCTGCTCCTCTGTTAAAATCAGATGGAATATCCATGTAGATTTCTTCTTCTAAATCTCTATACAAAAATGTATTTTTCATATCAAACGTTGTAATTGCAAATCAAAGTGGGCAGCTAATGACAACAAAATTCACACAGCATTCATCTTGGTTACTGGTGCGAATGTTTCCTGGTAGTATATTTCATATGTCTATGTATAGCCTCTTGCCACCAATGTCGCTTTATATATTTTGATCGTGTCGTCTTTTATTTGATTGAGAAAATTCATTTGTATACCACCGGTTTCTTACCTTTTTGATAGATTCACCATTTTCTAAGTATGGTTCTTTCAAGTGTTTGCATTTCTACACTTATAATATTCTTCCATTTTAAAGGATAATGTCTCAAATATTATTTTAAGGATATACTCATTGTTTAAACTTGTGAGAAATTTTCTATGAATTGATGAGCATTTATCAAATTATACAAATTGTGAGATAGTATATAAAGGATGTTCAGTGCATTCTCTTGTACTTTTACTAAATGCAATAGATATATTATTATTAGATAATTGTATAAATATTTTGATATTTACTTCAGTTCTAGGATCAATGTTAGATTCTTGGAGTTGCTTTGCCTTAGTATTCGGCATCTGTCTCATTGTATTGAAAAAACCTAAAATCTATTGCGACCTTTTGAGATGATAAATTTTTGAAGGTTTTCTTGTGATAGTGAGTTTTCTGATAGATTCTAAACATTCTCTTATAGTGATAGATTTGAGGTGTGTGGCAATGGTGGTATGTTAAAATACATTATAAATTTTACATCTTTATTTTCCAATATAAGCTCCCCCTAAAGATAAAATTAGATAAATTAAAATTTTTGTTCAATAAATATGACATTCACATACAGAAGTTTTTGATAGGCATTGTAACGTTTGTACCCTTTCTAAGTAGAGAAATATCCTATAGATTCACATTTTAAGTTCGAGAGATCCACTTTTCCTCTTTGATAAGAATGAATATGAACAAAGGCAACACACTCAAATATTCGAGAGAACATATGGTTTGTGACACATACTGTTAGATAAAACTATTGAAATGTTTAAAAAGAACTTTAAAATCAAAAACATAGGCACACGATTAATAATGTAGGTGACAGTAAAAATAGTTTTGCCCCAATATTTTTTTGAGATTTTTTTTTTGAAAGAGAAAAACCCTATTGGTGGTTAAAATGTAACTATTCTTACATTCTGCTACTCCGTTCCGTTGTGAAGTGTGGACGTAAAATGATTCATGAAGAATTCTTTCTCAGTGAAAGAATGATGAAACTGTATGATTGAAAAAATATTTGGCATTGTCAATACATAATTTTTTATGGATGTTCCAAATTGAGTTTTTTATCATAATGAGATATGACATGGCTAACATCATATCTAGCTTAAGTAAAAATTGTTTGGTAACTTTAATGCAATCATTAACAAATGACACAAACAATCAATCCTCATAAATATTAGGTATATATGATGGCTCCCAAATATCACTATAAATTAATGAAAACAGAACTAAACTTCGTTTATTACTAATGGAAAGTATCACACGTTTACATTTTAAAAAACTCACAGATATCACAGTGTAAACTTCCATATTCCGAATTCTTAAATAATGATGAAAACATTAACTTTTGAGATAGAGAATAATGAGTGCCCAAATCTCTTATGACGAAACTAAATCTTGTTTGTGAAGTTTGTAGTAATAGTAGAGAAAGATCCCTCATATGCATCCAAATAGTAGAGTCCATTTCTAGCTTCAGCATGTCCAATTATTTCCCCTGAATTCCGGTCCTCAAAATCACAATGAGAAGAGTCAAATATAACTTTACAATTCGAGTCTTGTGATAGTTTACTTACTGACACAAGATTGGCACACAATTTAGGGACATGTAATACATTTTTCAAGATAAGGGTCGGGCTAAGCTTAATGTCGCCCTGGCCTGCAACAGTAGTGAGAGAACCATCTGCAGTGATAATATTTTTATTACTCGAACATGGAACATATGTACAAAAATATTTGAAAGCATTGGTTATATGATCTCCGGCTCCTGAGTCAAGAATCCAAGAATTCTTCAAGAATTTATCTGAGACATTTAGTTCCTGTGAGGTAGAACTCATACTTGAGTTTGTCAATGAATCGGTACCTGTTTGTTTCTCCAATGATTCAAGTTGAACTCTTAGTTTTTCAACCTCCACTTTGGATTTACTAAGATCTAAGTTGTCACGTTGGAATTTGCTTCCATAACTTAGGATTTACTCTCCAACATCCTTTAAAAATTTAATAGAAATTAATTATCAAAGAAAAAAATTGCTGCAAGAATTTTACTCGGCTAACTGCGTGAAGTCGTTTGTGTTTGATCGCGATGGAGGCAACAAAGAGAGCTGCGCATGTCAGTGCGTGCTTGTGGACTGTTGGAGACTAGCGACTGCAGGGAGCAACGGTTGGTTCTAGGGCCGACTATAAAGGTTGGTTGGTGATGTTTGGCGACAAGAGAGTGGTGGCCAACTATTAAGATTGACCCCTTTTAAGCTTTTCTATTTCGACAATGAAAGCTTAATCGAGTTTGTAAAAGAGTTTAAGAACTTATTAACCTAAAGTATTGATAATATGTTAAAAATGATTTTTTTTATTGATGTATTTTGTTAAATATTATACCCCTATATATACAGGTTTTCTAGAATAGAAAATAAAATAAACAATTAATCACAATTAATTACAGATATGTAATTGATTATATCCTGATTTTCTTCCCCTTCAATACCTTGATTTATTTCCTTTTCAATATTCTGATTTACTTTCTCTTTGACATCCTGATTTATTTCTTCTTTAATACCTTGTGGACTGTTGGAGACTAGCGACTGCAGGGAGCAACGGTTGGTTCTAGGGCCGACTATAAAGGTTGGTTGGTGATGTTTGGCGACAAGAGAGTGGTGGCCAACTATTAAGATTGACCCCTTTCAAGCTTTTCTATTTCGACAATGAAAGCTTAATCGAGTTTGTGAAAGAGTTTAAGAACTTATTAACCTAAAGTATTGATAATATGTTAAAAATGATTTTTTTTATTGATGTATTTTGTTAAATATTATACCCCTATATATACAGGTTTTCTAGGATAGAAAATGAAATAAACAATTAATCACAATTAATTACAGATATGTAATTGATTATATCCTGATTTTCTTCCCCTTCAATACCTTGATTTATTTCCTTTTCAATATTCTGATTTACTTTCTCTTTAACATCCTGATTTATTTCTTCTTTAATACCTTGATTTACTTTCATTTTAAAAAGATAAGAATATTATCAAAATAGACAGGAAGAAATTTCTCATTAAAAGCTTAGAAAACTTGATTCATGAAGGTACTTGGGGCATTAGACAGTTCATATGGTATGACTAACCACTCATATAAACCATATTTAGTTTTAGATGTTGTTTTCCATCCATCTCTTGGTCTTACGCGGATTTAGTGATATTCACTTGCCAGGAAACCATTTAGGGTGTAATAAAAATATAGGTAAACTAAGAAATTCACTTAAGGGCAAATTGGTAAAAGGATAGCGCCAATTAGGGTTAGGGTTGACAAACTCTAACTAGCTCATCAGTTCATCCTGCAGTTGACACCCTAGTATCATCATTTCATCCCGCAGCCGACATCAAGCTCATCGCACGATTCCGGCAAGCATGATTCCAACCATTGAAGACATTTTCTTTATTGCTTTTAAGCCTATAAAAGACCCATCTTCGTTGTTCTGTAATCATCGAAATAAAGAATCAATAAAATACCTCTATTTGCCTCTCTTCAACCTTATTCGTCTTCTCTATCTTCTTCATCTTCTTCTTCCTTACTTTTTCACATATCAAAATCATGTCTAAGGTTTTAGGTAGGATCAGAGCCCGAACCGGCCGAATCCTACGCTGGTGTTGCCACACAAACTCAGTCCAAAGGGAAGGTCGCAATCGTCAAACTAGAGAGCCCTAAAACGATCACAATGAAGGAGGTTGACCGGAAACTCTCCGCATTCATGGACGAAATGAACAAATTCCGTCATGCATCAACAACTCACCTAGATCTTGGATCTGCTCCACAGAAATTCCGTCGGCCAGGCCAAAGGAAGCTCAGCGTGCCTCGACCAAGCTTACGAAAGCAGGGGTGTCCTGCCTCTCTCGAACGGCATGCCTACATAAGGGGGTAGAATCAAGTTAAGGTTTTTTATACCCGATTCTACTGAGAAAATCGCACCGAACCAATTGAAGAAACAGACCAATTCGAACCCATCTGAACCAGTTTGAACCGAACTAGTCCGATGGAGCCTTTGGACCGTATTGGACCACCCACAACAATGAGGTTTGACCCACAATTTCGCACTTCCGAAAGTAGAAATTCCTCTTTTTGAAGGGGTAAACCCCAACAAGTGGATTCGAAAATGTGAAAAATATTTTATAATCCTAATACTCTTGATGAATAGAAGGTGGAGATTGCGTCGCTATATTTAGGAGAACTCATCAATATATGGTACTATGGGTAGCTAGCCAAAGTTGATACCCTAGATTGGGAATATTTTGTGGAAGAGCTCTACCGACGATTCGAATGACCCTCACAGAAAGACTTCATAGAGAAGTTTACCAAACTACACCAAACAAGTACCGTTCTTGAGTATGTAGAACAATTTGAATATTTACATTATCTAATGAATGCAAATAAACCAACACTTCCATAAAGGTTTTTCATATCTACCTTTACCAATGGCCTCAAGTCGCAGTTACAACTCACGATAAGACTCCTCAAGCCACAAACGTTTAATCAAGTATCCGAACATGTCGTACTGTAGGAACAATTAGTAATAGAGTTGTCTTTGAATCCCTATCTTCCCAGCAATGATGCTCTCTTATCAGAAAAAGATCGATATAATGATAGACCCTCAGGAACATAGGAAATGGAGCATAACCTAGAAGATCAGCAGCCTGTTACAAATGTGGAGATAGCTATTTCCTATAATATCATTGTGCAAATAAAATAATAATGGTCAAGGAGGAAATTGAAAAGACTCTTGAAGAAAAAATTTCTATAATTCAACCTTGCGGACAAGGTTGATGCTCAAGGGGAGAGTATTGCCAAGAAACCATTTAGAGTGTAATAAAAGGAGTAAAATAAGAAATTCACCTTAAAGGCAAATTGGTAAAAGGATAGAGCTAGTTAGGACAGACGCAGGATGCCCTTGTTTTCGTGAGCTTCGGCCGCTAGCCGACCTCAAGCTCATTGCGCGATACCGGCAAGCATGATTCTAGACGTTGAATACGTCTCCTTTATTGCTTTTAAGCCTATAAAATACTAATTTTTGTTTTTCTGTAATCATCGAAATAAAGAATCCATAAAATACCTTTGTTTGCCTCTCTTCAACCTTCTTCCTCTTCTCTATCTTCTTCTTCTTCTGCTTCATTACTTTTTCACATATCAGAGTCATGTCTAAGGCTTCTAACACTGCTCTTCAAATATATGTTCAAAGAGTGCGTGAATCCTGCCATAAAATTTAACATATCACCAAGATGAAGTATGGAAAATCTATACTTGGCGATGATCTTGTTGATTGCACAACTACCAACACACCATCCAGGTCCCGTCTTTCTTAGTGTGAAAAATGTTGCCACAACACACA